GGTCCCGGTTGCCCCTGCTTAGCAAGCACTTCCAACCTGGCTTGGAGATCCCTGCAGGCGGCAGCCGCTTCCTCTTCCCTTTTCCTGGATGCGAGTACCTCCGCGTTGAGTTGTGTCACTGCATTTTGCAGGGCTGCTAGTTGCTGTTCTGTAGTCATCTTGCCTGACTTTTGTGAGCTCGCGAAGCACCAATCTTCTTCCTCGCTGCGTCCACTCACGTTACGAGGTCTTTGGTGCAAAACTTTTAGAGATGGAGCTTACTGTCAGAGCTGGCTCCAGGTCCCAGCTCACAGAGGACCAACGCTAGCCGGCAGTAATGTACAAAAGTCTTTATTGAAGTACAGTTTCCATTTTCAAGCCGGAGCGCCCCAGCTCTACGTCTAGGGGTTAGATCGGCGAAGCTCCATCTGAGTCTCCGCCCTGTACACCAGTTTAAGATTCTAGCCTTACTCCACCTCTTACGTCTCTCCTTTCTCCTCTGGGTCCTGCTACCCCCCGGTGTCCCTTCCTTCCTGGATTCTTCTGACGCTGACCCCGCTGACTCCTTCCCCTCTTTTCGGCGGGCTTTGGGACCTGGCTCCCTATCCGGGCTGCCAACTGCGCCGCCCTCCTGTACATTTGAACTTTGCGCGCGCGCCCAGCCTTCAACCTTCCTCTCGACCGTTTCCTCGCTCCCCGATGGAGGCGTGGCCAATCCTGACTCATGTCCTCCCACTGGCAGTGCGCCGCCTGATCCCGATGCCTGGGACTCCTCCCCCCCTACTGCACTCTGGTGTGGACGCTGGTCCTGATTTCCAACTGCTGCTCTCTGAGTCCCCTCTGGCCCCTTCTTCCTGGGGTGTCCCCTCGGCACCCCCTTGCTCTGACCAAGGGAGCCCCTTTCTGTGAATCTTCCGATTCGCTGGAAAGACTCAGAGACCTCGGACCGCTGTCATCGCTAACATTTCCTTCGGACTCCTCCCCCTCGCTCTCTATTTCCTCCCTTTCCTGTGCCTCTGCTCCTGAACCCCTGACAATAATTATTCTGGAACAGATCAATATTTTTAGGAGTTAACCAAATTCCCAAGTATTTTACCTTTTTCACCACCTCTATCTCTGTCAATTGTTGCATTATTTCTATCGCATTTTGCTCCATGTTTTTAGCCATTATTTTTGTTTTTTTCTTATTCAATCTAAACCCGGCCACATTTCCAAATTGTTCGATTTCCTCCAGTACTACTTTTACACTTTCCATTGGTTCTTCAATCGTTATTACCAGATCATCGGCAAAGGCTTTAACTTTATATTCATTCTGACCTACTGTCACCCCTTTTATTAATCTGTTTCGTCTGATCGCACTTAAAAAGACCTCTAGGACCGCTATAAATAACAATGGCGAGAGTGGACACCCCTGTCTCGTTCATTAGATATTTTTATATCTTCCGTAATTACTATCAGTTTAGCTCTCTGTTCTGTATATATTGCCTTGATTCCATTGAAAAACTCTTTCCCCACATCCATGTATTCCAAATTTTTCAGCATAAAATCCCAAACTATATTATCAAAGGCCTTTTCTGCATCCACAAACATTAGTATCGCTTGCTTCTCATTCCTGGCAGTCAGGTATTCCAAAATATTGATTATATTTCTTATGTTATCTTTCATTTGTCTGCCTGGCAGGAAACCTGCTTGGTCTTTGTGGATGATTCTTATCAATATCTTTTTCATTCTCTTCGCTAAAATTCCTGCAAATATTTTATAATCCGTATTCAACAGTGAGATAGGCCTGTAGTTTTTAACTTGTGTTAAATCAGAATCTTGTTTTGGAATCAGAGTAATAAATGCTTCTCTCCACGTTTCTGGAATCTCTCTTACTTTTAAAATATTATTCATAAGTTCTTTCAATGGTGTCATCAAAACGTTTCTCATTTCTTTATAGTAGCCTGATGTAAATCCATCTGGTCCCGGGGCCTTTCCCCTCTTCAATTCTTTTATAACCTCTTTAATCTCATCAATTTCTATTGGGGCGTTCAGCTGGTCTTTTTGTTCTGTCGGGATCTTCTGCACTTTTTTATCTTTTAGAAATCTTTCTATTTTCTTCATATTGTTCCTTTCCTTATTTCTATATAGTTGCCTATAAAAATCCAAGAATCCCTTTCTAATTTCTTTTGGATTGGATGTCTCTTCACCATTTACAATAATATTATTGATTGTATTCTGCTCCTTTCTCTTTTTAATTTGGCATGCAAGCCATTTCCCTGATTTGTTAGCGAATTCAAAGTTTTTCTGTCTTAACCTTTTGATGTTCCATTCTACTTCTTTGTTTATTATCATTGCAAATTGAGTTTGTAGAATCTTAATTTCTTGCTTAATTTTTAAATTATTGGGTTTTTTGATTAGTTTTTATTCATTGTCCATAATCTGCTTTAAAATTTCTTTTTTCCCTTTTCCCCTGTTTTTATTCTTCAATGAATTCTGCTGAATAAAAAAATCCTCTCATGACTGCTTTGCTTGCATCCCAAACAATGTTCATCTTTGTACCTTTGTTGATGTTATCCATAAAATATTCGGTTAATTTCTTTTGCGCTTTTTCTATGATCTTCTGGTCATCCAACAGATAATCGTTGATTCTCCATCTGAAAGTTCTTTCTTCAAAACCTTTTAGTTCCAATTTTATTGGGTTGTGGTCTGAGATTACTTTAGGTTGTATTTCACTTTGTTGGATTCTTGGAGTCAATTCATTCGAAACCCATATGTGATCAATTCTTGACATTGACTGATTCGGTTCTGAATGATACGTAAATTGCTTCTCCAATGGGTGTCTAAGTCTCCAAATGTCAATCAAATTGTAATTCTTGGTCATTGTGAAAAAGTCTTAGGTAATTTCCCTTCTTTGTTTGTTCCTTCTCTTAATCTATCCATTTCCAATGAAACCACTCCGTTCATATCTCCCATTATTATGATTTTCTGATCCATATATTCAAATAGTTTTTCTTCCAAAACTTTGTAAAAATCAGTCTTATTTCCATTAGTTGCATAGATCCCGACAATAATTAAATTTTCGCCTTGCCATTTGATCTGGACTGCTATGATTCTTCCTTCTTCATCTTTAAATATTTGTTGGGATTCAATTTTGTTTTTGATGTATAAAACAACCCCCCTTTTTTTCTCTTTATCCGAAGATATAAATTCATTGCCAAGTCTTTTGTTGATCAAAATTTTCCTATGTTTCCTTGCCACATGGGTTTCTTGTAGGCATATAATGTCCAGATTTTTCTTTTTTAAGAATTGTTCAATTTTATTTCGTTTCTTCTTATCATTCATCCCATTAATATTCCAATTCCATAATTTTAACGCCTTGTTAAATTCCAATTAAATAAATTTAGTTTAGTTTCTTTATGACCTATCTACCTCTCCTCCTCCTCCTCCTCCTCCTCCTCCTCCTTCTTCTTCTTCTTCAGACTTCTTTCCTTTCTCTTCTTCTTCTTCCCCCGATTCTGAAGATCCTACTCCTCCTTCTGCACCTTTGACCTCTTCTTCTTCCACTTGTAACTCCTTGTACCTTCTTGTAAATTTCCCTATTTCTTCTGGGCTTGTCAATCTGTGCTTCTTAGTTTTGTAGAAAAATGAAAGTCCCTCTGGAAATTCCTATTTGAAGTTGATCTTGTTTTTCTTAAGAATCTGCACCAGTGGCTTATATGGGTCTCTTCGTTTCAACAGCCTTATAGGGATGTCTTTAAAAATGATTATGTAGTTTCCATCTATATATAGTCTTTTCTCTCTATTCTTCTGTAGTATCAGATTTCTCATCTCTCTGTCCTTAAATGTAATTAAACAGTCTCCTGGAAATTTTCTTGCCTTAGTTGTTCTTACTCTCATTCTAAATGCATTTTGTACTGTTTTTGCAACTTCTTCCACTGGTAGCTCCAACCACTGCGCAATTTCCGTTATCAATCTCTCTTTGATAGTTTCATTCTGTATTTCTGGCACAGATCTCAGCCTCAGGTTCACTTCCCTCTGTCTCAGTTCATTCATAGCAATTGCATCTTTGATTTCCTCCTGAGATTTATTTAATTCTATCATTTCCGCCTTCATCCTTTCTTCCTCTCGTTTCACTTCCCTCATCTCCGATTTTGTCTTTTTCAACCCCTCTTCTAGTGATTGTGTTCTCTTAGATACCTCTTTAATTTGCCCTTTCAGTTCATTAACTGTCTCATCAATTTTTTTATCCATTTCCCCAATTTTACTATCCACTTGTGCTAATTTTGTTTCCAAATTGTTTTCACTTTGTCTAATTTCTGCAAACATTTTCAATATTTCTGCTTTAAAATCTGTTTCTTGTTTAGATGCTCTCCTGTCTGTTGGCGTCCCCCCCCCCCATCCATCCCTTTCCCACTAACCTTGAAATGAACTGTCAGGGAACTGCCATCGGAGCCAGGGGGAGAGGGAGGGCTCCAGAGGGATTCCGGAGAGCGTCCCGGGAGGGAGAGAAGCAGCACATCTTCTGGGGAAGGAAATCAGCGTAGCACCAGTGGAGAAGGGGGGCAGATGGGGGAATCGGTGAGGTGGCTCCATGACTCCTCGCCGGGGACCAGCGGGGAGAGCACGGGTCCTCCGCTGCCCACACCCCCCTGCGCAGAAGGCTTCCACGCAGGGAGAGTAGGTGGAGACTAGGCGTCAAAGAACTTCTTTGCTGGAAGAAGTTCAAGAAACACCCACTGACGGATTCTGCCAGCGATTGAGACAGCCACGGGTGAGTGGCTGTCCGGACAGAAAAGGTTCACTCAGGCAACCCAGCCAGGTGGGGCGCCGATTTACGCACGAGCAACCCCTAGAACCATTACATGAACCATGAAAAACAAGTTGTACTGTCCCATTCCATCCACTAGGAGATCAATGTCCAAATTTGAGCGACATAAATTAATAAGTCCAAATATACAAACTCCAACTATTTCCAACTTTCAATTTTAGTATGCCGAATTTATAAATTTAGTTAATAGGGAGAGTGAAAGAAAAATGTATTAATTCCTCTTCACTGCAACTGCAGCCTTTCCAAAGCTTTTACTATTAACAATGGAGTCGGAAACTATCCTTCCGTTTCTCCATTCTTTGTCTTGAAAAGTGAAAGTGGAGAGACAAAGAATCTTGTTCTTTATATATCCTCCTTTACATCCAAGACCTCTATACGCCACAATAATAACTTTCTGTTCCCCCTTTTTTGTAGTAGCCTTGTACTTCTTTATATCTTCTGCAAAAGTTACTTTTAACTTCTTTACTTTGTTCCTAAAAGTTACAAGGGAAACGGAGACAATAGCCGCTAGTGGCAACTTACTTTCATTTTCGAGCTCTGCATGTATTGCTGCGTCTAAGCTGATTCCAGATAGCAGCTGAACTCAAATAAATCCTTGTTATTTCGGAGCCTTCCTTAAATCCACATCTTCTAATTTGTAGTTTAATTGGGTCCAAATTTCTTAGTTTTGAGAGCGGAGCGCTGTTCCTTGCAAGCTCGGGGCTTCGCTATTCGGATGCAGCAATGGCTTCCCGATAGCCCGCTATCCCGTTCCGCTGTACTCTTCACCCCTTTTTGGAGGCTACCTGACGGCCGGACGGCCAGCTTTTTGGGCACTGCCGGGAACCTGAGACCCTGGACACCCTCCAGAGGATTAATAGGGGGCTACTGCGCCCTGTAGCACCCCCTTTTCCTTCCGAAATAGCCGGGATTCCTCTCACCGAAAAATCCCTCGCTTCCGACAGGATCGTGCTCCACCGGAAGTCCCCACGTCTGGACTTGTGTTGGTCCCACCATGCAGAATGGGGGCTGCCTCCCATGTTGTGTTTCTAGGGGTGATTCATATAGCACCCAGCAGCTGCTGTGTGTAACCCTGAAGGGAGGTGGTTGCCTGTAGCCTCTGACTATGCACTGAAGCACCCTTAAAACTATTTCCCTTTTCCAAGAAGGTTTGCCTAGTGCCAACTATGCTGCGTTTTAAGCAAAGATGCTGATGATTTGCCTTCCACAATGGAATGTGCAAAGTGGCTGGTTAGGTTTTACTTGTTCTGCGGCGTTTCTATGCTCCTGGTCTGTTTTGTCTGTGTTTTTGTATTTCATTGTAGAAAAGAAAAGAAAAGGTTTTACTATTTCTTTGTATACTGCCCTGGTAGCTTTGCTGAAGGGTGGCGTAAAAACAGAGAAAAGCAAACAAATAAATGAAACATCAGCCTTATTTTCCAAGAAGCTCAGGGTGGCATCTCTCTTTCGCTCTCTCTCTTCCCAAACCCATTGCATCCTGACAACCAGCCTTGTGCAATAGGTAGGCTGGGAGATGGTGACTGGCCCAAGATCACCCATAAAGCTACATGTCTGAGTGGGGATTTGAAGCTTGGTCTCCCAGGTCCTAGTCCAACACTCTAACCAGCACACCATTTATTTCCACTCCAGAGTTCCCATCTTATCTGCTAAGCTAAGGTTACCAGACTTTTTTCAACGAATCCGGGGACACATTTCAACTTCCTACTAAATAGATGGATTTTGTCAGGGGACTGATCTGTAAATCCAGGGACTGTCCCTGGGAAACGGGGACGTCTGGTAAACTTATGCTAAGCTCTCACCCTCTCTCAGTCTTATGGCTTGACCAATTTTTTCTCAATCATCTGTTAATTCTCACTTGTCTCTCGGGTAACAGACTAACTTACTGTGTTATTCTGCCTCTTAATGCTAGTCAGGGAATGGGCTGATACCTACCTCCCTGAAGCTATTCTATGATCTGGAGGAAGCTGGCATCACAGGTCAAAATTATTTACTTCTGGGTGAACACAGAATCCTGGCACCAAAAGTTTCAAGAGATATCTATACAGGAATTGTAGTGGAATGCCTCCAGGCCAGGCCCAAGCTCAAGAGTCTCCTGCTGGTATTTGTTTGACAAACTTGAGCAATGGCTTTTCGAAACTTTCAACTTTTAGTGAACTATGTTCCACATCTGTTGAAGAACTTCTCCATATGTGGCATTCTAGGATGTCACATAGGATGCTGGACAGGTCCTATTAGGCCCCTAGAATAGAATCATAGAGTTGGAAGAGACCACAAGGGCCATCGAGTCCAACCCCCTGCCAAGCAGGACACACCATATAGAATCATAGAATCATAGAGTTGGAATGTCATTCCATGTGAACCAGGTTCCTTAGCAAGTGTATAACACTGTCAGCCATATATTGGAGGGAAAGATCGGTAATCTTCCTGATCTTCCTGTTTGGATATTCCGTACCACCTTAAGAACAGACGTGTGGATTGTTGCATGTCACATGTCTGTTTACAGTCCAGCACAGCTTGCTGGGAGCTTCCGTTTGTGCATTGCTTTTGCTTTAGCTGTCTTGCTTTGGACACAAAGATCAGACATGTTTCCTTTTGTCCTGATGTATGCTGAATAAACTGCTTGTAAATATGCTCACACAACCTCTCCTGCCACTTCTGTTTGCGCATTTACGCTGCTGAGTAGCATGCTCAGTCTTCAAAAGCCTGGGCTCGGGTCACAGATTCATGCTGATCCAAGGACTGGAGATTGCCCGGCACACCGGCCTGTGGGCTGGAGCCAGATGGGGGCCTGCCAACTGCCCCCGTTTCCTTGGTCGCATGCCAACACTTCCTACTGAGAAACCATCAATACACTCTGACGTATCACAAGGTTCTTCAGAACAGTTTGTAAGCCACTGTACCAGAGGGGGGAAATGGGACAGGAAATTATGCAAAGTATATGGGACTTTTTAAGTTCCTTCAACTTAAGGTTTGGATCCCATCTTTGACCTGGTCTACCATCTTTGACCTGGTCTCCTTATGGAAGTGATTTTTACTCAACACCACAGACACCATTAGGCAAGTGGTTACTTACACCACATCATCAATAGGTCTTTTAATGCACCAAAAGTCTTGTAATTCTTAGGTCATTCATCAACCCCTAGAACTTGAAATAGGCATAGAAACCAACATTGTATAGGTTCATAGGGGACTGATATGGGTCTAGAAAATCAATTTCCTCCAGTTGGCTGACGTACAGAGAATTATTAATAGGGGCTGAAAAAGGGTTAAAGCTGAAAGAATATGAGGAACTAAAGACTACATTGCAAAGTTGGTTACATCATAGACAATTGAACAAACAGTTTAAGGAATACAATAAGAAAGGTTTGAGCTACTGTGTCAAACTTTCAAAAAGAGATAATTGAGAGTGATACGAAATTACTTTAAAAAAATGTATAATCTCCTGTTATATGGGGAAACGCTGAACAAAATGGTAAAGTCAGCACAAATAAAGTTGACTCAGGATTTAGGTCATAATATACAACTGGAAGATTGGGAAAAGATGTGGGAGGTGAATTTAAAATTTACAGATTGTATCTTACTGAAAGAGAATTATTTGAATATGATGGTGTATTACACCAAAGAAAGTGGCAAAAATGTATAAAAAGGGATTTAAAACCTGTTGGAAACATAAAGAAAAAGATGGTACATTTTATCATGTGTGGTGGGAGTGCAAAAGGGCTAGAAATTATTAGGAAATGATATATAATGAATTGAAAAAAATGCTTAAAAAGACTTTTGTTAAGAAACCAGAAGCATTCCTCCTAGGAATTTTAGCTCAAGATTTTTTAAAAAATTGGAAATTATTTATGTATGCAACAACAGCAGCAAGAATTATATTAGCACAAGTTTGGAAGACAGAAGAAATACCAACGAAAGAACAATGGCAAGGGAAACTTATGGAATATGCAGAACTGGCAAAATTAACACAGAAATGACATGAAAAGGATAACAAAGATTTTAAAAGAGAATGGGAACCATTTACAACATATATGAAGAGGCAACATAAAGAATTGGACTCACTGGCAGGGTTTGAATAAACAAACACAATTGTATATAACAAAAACTAAGATGTATGGGGAAAATTTTGGGAAACAACACGCAGGATGAGTAATATGGAAATAAAACAAAATGGGAACATGAGGGAAGTCCAGGGAGGAGGGGGGGAACTATGGAAAAGTGTTAGAGAAATATTGTTAGAGGATGTATACATGGAAAAACCAATATATGGTATTTTTCGCTCTATAAGACGCACCTTGTTTTAGAGGGGGAGAACACGAAAAAAATCCCCCTCTCTGCTCAGCGCCCCTTCAGTGAAGTGGCAGGAGAAACGGAGCCCCTTCCATTTCTCCTCCCGCTTGGCTGAAGGGGCGCTGCACAGCTCTCCCTCTCTGCTGAAGCTGAGAGAGTCTTGCTCTCCTGGCTTCAGCAAAAGGAACCTGGAGCCTGCGGAGCGCAGCGGGAACTCGCGCTCCGCTCCGAAGGCTTCAGGCGGCTATCCCTGAAGCCTGGAGAGCGAGAGGGGTCGGTGCGCAACGACCCCTCTCGCTCTCCACGCTTCAGAGAAAGCAACGCGAAGCCTCCGAGGCATGGAGGGAGCGCTCCCTCTGCGCTTCGGAGGCTTCGCGTTGCTACCGCTGAAGCCAAGGAGCCTGCATTCGTTCCATAGGATGCACACACATTTGCCCTTAATTTTTGAAGGGGAAAAAGTGCACCCTATAGAGCGAAAAATACGGTATATATGTTACAGGTATCAGGGGGTTGCTCGAGAGCAATCAAGCAAATGCCTCCCTAGTCTGTTGTAAAGCCTTGTTATTGGTGCAAAACCCTTCACTATGCAGAGCTCCTCTATTCCGTGGCTTGCTCATTCACTGGCAGAATCTGAGAGTGGGCGGTCCTTAAACCTTCCCCAGCAGAGTAGTTGCTTGATGCCCAGTCTGCGCCTCCCCTCTCTGCGCGGAAGCCTACTGCGCAAGGAAGGCGTGGGTAACGGAGGACCTCTCTCCTCCCCGCTTGCTCAGGCAAGGTGTCCTGGCACCGCCTCGCCTCCTCCGAGCCCTGAAGCTCCTCTCCACTAGAGGCGTGGCTATTCCCCTCCGCTGAGGAGGTGCTGCTTCCCACGATCTTTGGGGGCTCTCTGTAATCCACCCGGCTTTTCGCCTCTCGCCCCTGAGCCGATGGCAGTTCCCTGACAATATTTTTTTTTTTAAGAAAATCAATTTCCTCCAACAGTGCCTGGATCTGGCCCGTGACCACTTGCTCAAGAACCTTGCCCAAGAAGGGGAAATTGGCAACTGGCTGGTAATTACTTAGATTTTCTGAATCCAGGGAGAGTTTCTATGAGTGGTTTTGCCACTGCCTTCTTCAAGCAGACAGGGCCCTGTCCCTCTCATAAGGAAGCATTAATACTTCCCTGGGCCAGCCAGCTGTCCCTTCCCTGTTAAGTTTTTCTCAGCCAAGAGGGTCATGGGTCCAGAATGCAAACTGCCACCCTGACCAATCCAAGCACCTTGTTTGCATCCTTGAAACTTACTAACTGAAACTCTTCCAACATAACAGTACTCTGGACATCTCTTGAAATTCATCTGCTGTAACAGTGGAGTCAATGTCCTGTGGCGGATGCAAGCAATATCAACATACATGAAATATTAAGAAACACAGATTCATTCCACCTTTTATTAGACTGATTCCTCTTGGAATTATACCTGACAACCAAATTTAAACTGGAATCCTAAACCTTTCCACCAGACAGAGGATTCTTGCTCCGTGTTTGCAGTCATGGAATTGTTGTCTATCACATGATGGTGTATGTTTTCATTCCACAGTATGGGAAGTGACAGAGACAGGATGTTTTGTGTTACTGTGTTCCGTGAAGTGGGACTATTGTCCTTTGTTCTTTCTCTCTTTGCTGTCTGATGAGAAAGAGGAAGGAGCTAAGGTAGAATGCTCCAAGTGCATATGTAAATAAAGTAGATTAGCCAAAATGCTGTGATACTGAGTTTCGTTATGCAAACTGCAAATACTCTGCAGGTTCCTAAGTGTGCTGACGCCTTTTGGTATCAATCACTGTGATGTTCAGGCTGAAGAAAGCTTTTGAAGCTGCCAAACGACAGACCAGGAGGGAGAGAACTTGCCAGTTGGGCATGTGTCTCTGCCAGGGTCCTACACGAGAGTAGGACGATCCCAACACAGTGCACATGCAACGTAAGGCCTATTCAGGCATCCAGCCTCACATGAGATAGGAGCAGGGTTGGCCTACTCATATAGCAAGGTGAGGCAACTGCCTCTGTCAGCAGGATCCACAGAAGTGGCAAATCAAGCCTCTGAGGAATGCATTGCCTCTGTTGCTGCTGCAGTGCCAGGGTTCCTTGGAGGCCCAATCTGCTGCCTCCTCAGCAGCTGCTCCAAATGTTGCCTCCACAATGGCCTCTTGGCAAATAGGAGGGACTGCTGGTCTTCCTCCTATGGAGACTGCCCTTAGTTTAGTTTATTACGGCCATAGGCCCACATTCAATACATCATACAGCAGAACAGGTATAACAAGATAAAATTAATAAATTAAATTACGTTTAAGTCAAGTACATCTCAATCCGTAAGTTTCTAAATTCCATTAAAATAAGAACAATATAGCGCTTAAAGTATCAGATTATCAGTATAAATCAATATTATTTAGGCAAAATCAATAATCATAGAGTAATCCATTTTTCCTTTTATAGGCTAATACTGTTATCAGAAATCTGGCAACAGAAAGGGACCTACTTGGATCAGAATCTTGCAATAAATGTATTAGCTGTGTTTCCAAGGAATCACCTGAGATTTCCAATAATAAAGGGGACAAAAATCTGCTCCGAGAAACTGAATGTAGTGAACAGCAGAATAGTATATGTTGTAAAGATTCTATAGCTCTATTATCACATACACACACCGCTGAGATCCGTCCATTGGAAAATCTATTATTCAAGACATTGGAAGGAAAGGCGTTAAATCTTGCCTTAATAAAGGCATATCTGTGGGCCGCTACAGACAAAGAGGTCAAATAAGATGGTATCTGCTGTGAGGGCACTATGCCAAGATTTAATGGTGAGCAAGTGCCACTACCCAAAATGATGTTTTGTTGTAGGTCTATCTCCTCAAGTTTTTGAGTGAGGGTTTTTTTTGCTGTGGCTAGGTCCAATTCCAATAATTCTGATGGAGACAATCCATAGGTCACTACTTTGGAATGGATCTCTTTTGCCCCTAGGACGGGAAAATTATCTCTCCAGAGGCATTGGATCAAATACAGATTTGGGAGCCTATGCCTTAAGGACAACCAGTAACAAAGGCTGCGCCTCCAAAGAGTATTTTCTAAAGATGTAGTCTTTAATTCTAAGCAAATAGCTGCGTTACTAACGCACTGAGGAAGTTTTAGCAGTCGTCTTAGAAATTGGTTTTGAATTACCTCCAAGGTCATCAAGTTTACTGCGGTCCCCCATAAAGGAACAGCATATGCCAATGTTGCAATTACTTTAGCTTTGAATACTTTCAAGGCAGATGGAACATGAAGAGCCCCGTCCGAAAAGAAAAAGCGCAAAAGCGCAAAGGATAGGGCCTTGGCCTTGTTTAAAATATGTGCAATGTGCGCCTTCCAACCCAGATTATATTGGAGAAAAACTCCCAGGTATTAAAATTTATAAACCTGTTCAATAGGTTTTCCATCTAATTGCCACTTATAAGATTTCCGACTTTTTGAGAAAATTAGTACTTTGGATTTAGATTGATTTATAGTGAGGGAATTTGTTTTACAATATGAAACAAATAGTTTTAATGCTCTCCTGAGGCCAATTCTTGAGAAGGATAAAATCACAGCATCATCAGCATAGAGTAATAATGGGCAACGATAGTTTGCGAGACGGGGGGCATGGGTGATTTCCTGAGATTCAGCCAATGGTATCCTCATGTCACTAATGAATAAATTGAAAAGAAAAGGAGCTAGGATACATCCTTGCCGGACTCCTCTGTTGATGGGCACAGAGTTTGTGAGATCGCCGGCTGGGGTTATTCTCACCCTAGCAGCCGACCCCTCATGCAGCTGGATTATTAACCATAAAAGTCTTCTGTCAATTCCCCATCGGGCCAACTTTTCCCAGAGTAACCTTCTTGGGATGCTGTCAAATGCAGCCTTAAGGTCGATAAAAGCCGCACAAAGTTGGCTTCGGTTTGAAGAGGAATATTTCCGGGCTAGATGGTGCAAGACTAAAACATGGTCCGTAGTTGACTGGTTCAGTCTGAATCCTGCTTGCTCGGGGCCTATCAGTTTCTTTTCTTCAGCCCATTGGGTAAGTCTATTCAGCAGAAAACGTGCATATATCTTTCCAACTATTGACAGTAAACTAATATTCCTATAATTCTCCGGGTCGTCTGGGGAGCCTTTTTTATATATTGGGATTATAATAGCGTCCTTCCATATTTTTGGCACCCTTCCAGTTGCATTAATAGCATCGAAAGTAACAGCCAGGATTTTTGCCCACCAGTCGGAATGTAGTTTTATGGCTTCCGCCGGAACCAAATCTGGCCCAGGGGCTTTGCCGATTTTAAGTTTAGAGATTAAATTCAAGATTTCATCGGGGTCAGTAGGGGGCCAGATGGGGAGATGGTCAAATACATCATCAAAAGCGTTGGTATTGGAATCTGGTGACGCAAAATATTTCCTTAAAAAAGGATTCCCAGACCGGGGCAGGAATTATTGTTAAAGGGTATCTCCTTGATCTTCTATTAACCAATTGCCAAAATTGCCATGAGCTACATGGACTAGAGGCGACTATAGGCGCTTGCCAGCGATTTTGTTGCCACTCTTGCTTAGCCATTCTCTGGGCTTGCTTATATGCTGTTTTTGCTTGTTGGTAATTCCTAGGTAATACTAAAGCGCCAGAAGATTTATATTCATTGTAAATGGCACAGAGATGTCGTCTAGCTTGTTTGCATTTTAAGTTGAACCAAGGGGCACCGGTCTTAAAATGGGCCCGATTTACTTGGGTGGCTGGTACTGTAAAAAAGGACATAAGATCTTCTGTAAGCAGAGAAAATGAATTAATAATTTGTTCATGCCCATACAAATCTAAATCCAAAGCAACATGAGTTTGAATTATCTCTTGTTGGAAAAATTCCATATATTTTTGGGCTTGAGTTACTGACCATTTTATTCCTCTCACTTGTTCTGCAGTATTTATTCCCATATATATGGGGTGTCTGGACTTGATAGACTGCCAGTCTAGGGAAAGCTTGGCACTCAAGGGGAGATGGTCGCTCATTTGGACGTTTTCTATTTTAAAATAAGTAAAATTTGGGAATAGATCTCTGGAGACAATAAAATAATCAAGAACACTATTTGTAAGGGTGCTCAAATGAGTGAACTCACCCGGAATATCCGGGGGACAATTTCCATTTAAAATTATCAAATTCAAACGTAAAATCAGTTGATAAAGAAGGGTTCCCACTTCGTTAATCCTATTATCTTTCGATTTTCTCTGTATATGGGGGGAGAAATCCAAGTTCTGGTGATCAGGTATGACCCACCATTTGGCCTTACCTAGCGCTTCCCAGTTTGCAGCTGTACGAGCATTAAAATCACCTCCTATGACTGCTGAGATATTTGGGAACTTAGTGTAACAGAAAGCTAGGTGTTCTTCAAGTGTTTCCCATTTAGAATGGAGGTCCACTACCTGCCCCCCAGGGGGGAAATAAACATTTGTTACCAGTAGTTCAAATTTCCCTCCTGAAATCAATCCTGTGATCGCGTAAGGCGAGGAAGATTTAACAAGTGTAAGTTTTGCTTGCAATTTGAGGGAGATGGCTATTACCAAACCTCCCCTAGGGCGTCCACCTTTAAGAGAGGGGCTAGCTGGGAGCAAAATGGTATTGTATCCATTTATGTCAATCACCTCCTCTTCCCAAGTTTCTTGTAGGAGAATTACTTGGAATAAATTAATAAATTTTAAGAAGTCTGGATCAAATTTCTTCCCCCTCCATCCTGCAATATTCCAGCATAAAAATGACATCGAGGAGTGGCTGGGTTGGTCGTTAGGTAGTCAGATCATGTGGGAATGGGATTCTAAATTTGGGGGAGTTTCAGCTTCAAAAAAAATCAGTAATTTTCCTTTGAGAAGGTGGCAATCGTGCTATACATCCCAACTGTTTAGATTTATTGGGGTGGTTTGGCTGTAAAGTCTTGCCACTCGTCTCGCTAAAGGCAGATGTTAGGCCTAAGATAGTCGACTTTTCAGAGCCAGATGGTGGGATTAGGGGGGTATTACTTAAAGAGAGCGAATTTAAGTCAACAGGTATCGTGCCACTAGTTGAGTGATCATTAATTGTTTGGATAATTTTGTTAATACGACCTGTCGGGTCTTCGACCAGATCATTCTTCGGGGCTAAAAATAAAATGGAGCCGTCTCTCATTTGTTGGTCTGGTTCAGCTGGTTCTGTTATCGGTTCGATGGTATCTATGGATTTATTCAACTTGCACACGTTAGAAGAGAGTGGGTTAATAAAGTTACAAGTAAGTAACTTATGGGTCATATGGGGCACTTTACATGGAGAGCCTAATTCAGATTCGTTGAGTTCCCTCATTTTGTCCCAGGCAGATGTTGTAGTCATATTTGCCTCAGAGATGGGGTGCATGGTAGATGGGTCTGGTGGTAAGGTTTCCGCCTCCAGAATATGGAAGAGTGGATTCATTTCCGCAACAACCAGTTGGCTGGTAGGGGTGGGTGCCTTCCCAACCCACAGGTCCAGTTCTTGGTGGTATAAACGTGGGACAGAATCTGAACCACAGTCTCTATCAAGCATATTTTGTTTAGGTAATCTCAGCTGTTCCTCCGTCACTTTTGTCAGGCAGAAGTAAAGGGTATCAATTTTATGAAGTATTTCTTTCTGAACTTCTTGCGGGAGAACGCTATAAGAGTAGAGTAAGTTATTATCAAAGCTGTCAAGATCGATTCCCTGATTCTCCGCATACCTGGGCCCAAGGGAGTCCAACCTTTGAGAGTCCTTGGCAACCAGACCAGTAGGATGTTTGGAGATGTCCTCCGCAGAGTTTATATCAATTAAAACGTTTTGGTCAATCTCATGTTGAGTTTTTGGCAAATTTACGATATGGGGGATAAGTGGAATTGGAGGTGCTTCATTTTTATACCACTTGAGATTCCTTGAGATTCTTATACCACTCGTCTCCAGTTGTTCTCCACATTTGTACACTTGTTTTGCCAGTCTCCCTTCGCAGAATGAGACCACCGCTCTGGCAAGGAATCCATTGAAGTATAGATATTCCACTTGGGCCAAATCAGTAGGGTTATTAAGGATGCCTGGCATATAGATCTTTAAAAGGTTTAATAGATGGGCTTTACGCTCTTCTTGTGACAGGAGTCCTGGGGGTTTGGGATAATTTGATAAAACGAGTTTGTTTCGGTACAGCACCAGATTCCAGTTTTTATTTGTTAGATTTATCAGATTTCTCTTCTTAGAGGGATTGGTTTCATCTACAGATAGAATGTAAGACCATGGATCTTAGATCAAGATGTCTTGCTTGGAGTTAGGTGTTGGGATAGGTGTTAAGGGTTTCAAGGAATCCATCGCAGCGTCAGGGCAAGGGTTTATAGAACGTTCTTGCTTAGAAGATTTCCTGGTTAAAAATTTCTCAGTGTTCCCACTGGTCTCGGTTATTGGGATACTCTTGAGAAGATTAAAAGCTTTTAAAATCCATTTTTTGTAACGCACTGCCTTAAAATTTTTAACATTTCTGCTCTTTTTTGCCCTTATGGGCCTCCTTTCCAAGGCAGTAGCCCTACAAGATCTCTTGGCCTTCCTTGGTGATCTGTTTTTGCAGGTGATAGGAAGGAAGTTGTTATTACTTTCCAGTTCTACAGTCATCCCGCTGGATTCCCTACAGAGAGTTTTGCAAGTGTCCAACATTATAGTGAGGACTTTTGTACAGGTGGCCAGATGAGATTTTATATTTTCGATAGCCTCAGTTAAAAGCACAAGCCATTTGATAACTGATAAATCCTCATCCTCATCCTCATTTGTCTCAGGTTGGAAGCAGGGGTCTCCTGATGTTTTAGGGTTTCCCGAAGAGATCTCTGCAATTTGTTTTAGCATTAGTTCTTCCACTTCTCGGACTTGGGATGGTTCAGGAGAAGCTTGGGATTTAAGTCTCTGTTTTGGGAGTGCTTTGGTGACTGTACCAATTGTGTTTGGATTTACTTTGGGCTTTATTGGCCCTTTGTTGTGGCATTCTTCTACACAATCCTCTCTCTGCACAGCCGGCCCTTCAGTGCGGGAGGGGAAAGTTTCAGTTTCCTGCTGATTCTCACTCGGCTTAACTTTATCCCTATTCTTAAAGGGCCGAGTGCTTTTTGTTTGAGTTCCCTTTAGGGTAGCTCTTTTAGAGAGAGGTCTTAAATCACTCTGGTAAAAGCCTGATGTTCTATAGCCACTCCTGGTCATCACCATTATTTATCTTGTAGGGTCAAGTTGGTAAAAATCTCACCTCGGTTCATTAGCTCCGTCGGGTGTTGCAGGAGGGTTCTCCGCGAGACTACTTCCAAGGTAGGCAAGTAATTCTGCCAGGGGATAAAATGAAGCAGAACTTGCCTTCCGTTTCAGCCGCTCCTTGTTTCTCGGCGTTTTTCCTCCCCCTCTTCCCTTTTCTAAGACTTTTAACTTGAGCTTTTAACTCAAGCCTTGAATATATTAGTTAAAGAACAGCTGCCAAATGTTGTAGATAAAATACTGAGGCTGATAAAAGCTGAATAAAAACTGATAAAACTAATAAAAACTAATAAAAACCGCACAACTGCTGCGGAGCTCAAGTCAGTGCTTCCACTAACGACGCCATCTTGGAACCGCTCTAGCTGGAGACTGCCCTCTGGGGTCTCCTGGACTCTGCACCTGCCTTTGATTACCAGTCCAACCATCAGGTAAAGTTGCTTTGACCCTCACCCTTGTTTTCTATGTAGATCTTCACTCCTCCCTTCTTCCCTGGTGTGGGGGACACCATTTTATGGCTTGCCTCAGGTGCTAAAATGTATTGGGCCAGCCCTGAGTGGGAGAGTGGGTCTGTGCATGTTGACCCTGCTTAGACACCCAAACCATTCCCTCACAAATGCTGCCTGCATGCTAGAGATATGCCTATTGTGGAAAAACCTCCTGAACATGTATCAGCTGTCCCTGTGACCTGTAACTCTGAGCACCAGAAGTTTAAAATGGGGACTGGAAATACACTGGCAAACAGCATAATTAATACACTATAAACATAATGTGAACTGACTGACTGGCACCGAACAGTACCTAGGTGGCCACAATTTTGCACCAGCTGAAATTTCCAAACCGTCTTCAAAATCAACCTCATGTTGTCTGGGCAGCCTCAGCGCATTACAATAGTCAAGATCCCACTAGTGCATAAATAACTGAGACAACTGGCATACCTTCCCTAGCTCCTATAAAGGATTCTTGGCTGCCATCATCTGGGCAAACTTGGTTGGTCCTTCAGGGGAGAGTGCAACCTCCATCTAAGACCACCCAAAAACCTCTATCCCGTGCAGTCTGTTTCCCTACTTATAGTGCCTCCATTTTGTCTGGACGAAAGTCTCTGCTTGTTCTCCCTCATTTAGCCCAAAACAGCTTCCAGGCACCAGTTCAGGAGTTTAACTGATAATAATAAATATAATACTTTATTATTTAGACCCCACCCATCTGGCTGGGTTTCCCAGCCACTCTGGGCGGCTTCCAACAGAATATTAAAATGCAATGATTCATCAAATATTAAAAGCTTCCCTAAACAAACAGGGCTGCCTTCAGATGTCTTCTAAAAGTCCGATAGTTGTTTATTTCGTTGACATCTGATGGGAGGGTGTTCCACAAGGCGTGAGCCACTACCAAGAAGGCCCTCTGCCTGGTTCCCTGTAACTTCGCTTCTCACAGTGAGGGAACCGCCAGAAGGCCCTCGGTGCTGGATCTCAGTGTCCGGGCAGAATGATGGGGGTGGAGACGCTCCTTCAGGTCTACTGGGCTGAGGCCGTTTAGGGCTTTAAAGGTCAGCACCAACACTTTGAATTGTGCCCAGAAACGTACTGGGAGCCAATGTAGGTCTTTCAGGACCAGTGTTATGTGGTCTCGGCAGCCACTCCCCGTCACCAGTCTAGCTGCCGCATTCTGGATTAGTTGTAATTTCTGGGTCACCTTCAAAGTTAGTCCCACATAGAGCACATTGTAGTAGTCCAAGCGGGAAATAACCAGAGCATGCACCACTCCGGCAAGAGAGTCCATGGACAGAGAGGGTCTCAGCCTGCATACCAGATAGCAATAGAAAAAAGACAGTCACAGAACTGAGAAATTGCACAAAACAAATGAAATACCGTGAAAATCCCTGAAACGAGAAGTAATCGACTAGAAATATTATCTTGTGGAAATAAACTAAATAATAAAATTCAAAAAGGAAAAAATTAGAAAAACCTAAGACTGAACAGAGCCTTAACGGGATGTCGGCTACAAACCTCATTTCACTGAACTATTCAGTTTCCTAGGAAGGAAATAGAAAAATCATAAACTTTAAATGAACAAAATTCAAAAAAAGGGGGTAGAACTCCCCAAAATTCTGAAGTATTATAATTCTAGCTTGACCTAGGTAAGGCAAAGCACAGTAATAAAGGATTGAGGACTCAAAAGTACAGTTTCTAATACTGAATTTACAAAAAAAGTTTGAAAACCTAAATGGCAAGTTTTAAACAAAGCCCAACTTGAAGAAAGGAAAGCACAGTAATAAAGGGTTGAGGACTCAACTGTGAAAATTCTAGTGCTGCTTTTGCAAAAAGGTTTAAAAACCTAAATGGCACAAATTCAAAGAAAGGAATACAAGATAAGCTGTTTTAGATTTCAAACAAACTCAAGAACAGGGCTGAAACGCTTCCATGGTCTAGATGTTACTGGGTGTTTCCAATCACAGGTTTATATACTATAGGGTGAATTTTTTTTTAAGGGACAGGCCATTTTGTTCAAACAATGGGCGGGATTGGAAAAGTTTGGAAAAAATAACAAGAATGATATTGAATGGAGTTGTAGAAAATTATAAAAATGAACTAAAGTCAATATAAGCATTGAGACCTGACGGAATTAAGGAGCCAAATCTAAAAATCCAATATATTTCTTTCTGTAATAATTTCTTTCTTAAGATATCCATGTTTGCCTCAGGAGTGTGATGTTTATAAATGATAAACCATCTGAAATTCGTTGCCTTATGTTTAGCCTCTAAGAAGTGAGATGTAAGAGGTGCTTCCAACACCTTGTTAAAAATACGATTCTTATGCTCTAGTATTCTAGTTTTAACCGTTCTTGTAGTGCTGCCCACGTACCAACGGTCGCAAATACATTGAATTGCATATACCACTCCACGGGAATTACAGTTGGTAAATGCTTCCAGTTTGATAATGCTGTTGGTTCCAGGTATAATAAAATCTTTCGTCTCAACTGTTAAACTATACGCTGCACATCTTCCGCATTTAAAATGTCCCTTTATATTGCAATCTTGCGACTGGTTCTTATCTGTTATATCTGCGTGTACAAGCATGTCTTTAAAGTTCCTGGTTCTACGGAAACTGATCTGTGGAGGTATAAAAGGGCAGCCTGGTACGTCTTGTATCAGGTGCCAATGTTTTCTGATTGTCTTATCAATCGAATTGGATAACGGGGTGGCTTGTTCTTGATAACTTATGATGACAATGCTGTTGATGTGTCTAATGTTGAATCTTGTTGTGTTGCACGAACTAACAAAGTTCTTCATGCAGGATGCATTCACGAGGCGCACCGAAGATTTGGTCACATGTCATGGCAGGCACTGGCCAAGATGCCTGGGTTGTTTCAGGGTATGTCCATCAAACCCTGTAAGTTTCACATGAAATGTATATCTTGTGCTGAAAACAAAGTAAAGATTGCTCCGAAAGGCAAGGTGTCTGACAGACAGGCTTCCAAACCCTATCAGCTAGTCCATGCAGACCTGGTAGGTCCACTTGCACCCTCTTTGGGTGGAGCAATGCACTTCATGGTTTTAATTGATTCTTTTTCCAGGTACATTCATGTGTTTGTGCTCCAGCAGAAGTCAGAAGCGTTTCCTAAGTTCAAGGCATTCTGTGCTTGGTTGGAGAATGCTCACAGTAAACGCACTGGCTGTTTATTTACTGATTGAGGCGGTGAATTCACTTCTCAGCAGTTTGAAGCTTTCCCGACTGAGAAGGGAATCCAGCACGACCTCTCAAGTCCCAGATCTCCATGGGAGAATGGACTTTGCGAGTGGGCAAGCCAGACTTTGCTGCAAGGCCTTAAAACCTTGTTGCATGATGCCAATCTCCCTGAGAAATATTGGGCTGAAGCTTTATCGTGTTTCCTTTATTCCTATAACAGGAGACTGTCATCACCTATTGGTTGTACCCCCTATGAGAAGATGTTTGGTAAGAAACCTTACGTCAAGCACATGAGAATCTTTGGTTCTGACATGTGGGTCCACACCCCACAGAGCAGCAAGCTTGGGAAGCGTGGGGCACATAGTTTGTTCATGGGGTACGAAAAAGGTGCATACAGGGTATTCATGACTGACTCTAAGACCATTAGGGTCACAAAGAGTGTTGAGTACAATCCCAAATGGGGGGGGGGGAATGTGGGGATTTTTCAGAGTCACTCAGAGGGGGATGAAGATGATGAGGTAGAAGAGGAAGCTGAGGATGATGATCAGAATTCGGATTCCAGCTCAGTGAGCAGCGCTGGTGCTGCTGTCAGCGACAGTGATGACACAGCAGACTACAAGAGCGCAAAGGCCTCAGTCAGACCATCTGATGCGTCTGACATTGAACTGGAAGAACCACTGTTCACCATTGGCCTCTTTTCTCCTAAGAAGGAGGAGATGAGTGCAGAAGACTTGCGTCTAGCACGCAGATCTGAAAGGGCCACAAAAGGCAAACCTCCAAAGAGATTTGCTGATGAGTTTGCTAAGATAGCAACTGCTGTTCTTAGTAGCTCAGAGAAGGTGTGGGAACCATCAAGCTTCCAAGAGGTGCAAGAATTAACCTCTAAAGATGCTGAACCATGGCTTAATGCCATGAAGGCTGAAGTTGATTCCTTTAATAGGAACCAAACCTGGGAGCTAGTGCCAGTAGTCCCAGGAATGAGACTGGTTGGCAGCAAATGGGCCTTCAAGGCCAAGACAGACCAGACTAGCAAGGTTGTCAGGCACAAAACCAGATTGGTCGCCAGAGGTTTTTCACAGGTACCAGGACAGGATTACCACGAGACCTACTCACCCACCGTCAAGTATGAGAGCATTAGACTAATGCTCAAGATTGCTGAAGAGGAGAAACTGCACGTTTCTCATCACGACGTGAACACAGCTTTTTTGTACGGGGTTTTGGGGGGAGGAGCTGTATATGCTTCCACCTGATGGAATGCAGATACAGAAGAAAATGGTCTGTAAACTACAGAAGTCCCTATAGGGTCTCAAGCAGAGTGCCAGGTGTTGGGACACAAAACTCACTGAGACATTGCTTTCTCTAGGTTTTCACCAAGGCAAAGCTGATCCATGTGTGTTTGTCAAAGAGGAGGGGCAAAGCAAACTGTATTGTTTATGCTTTGTTGATGATATTCTTCTTTTCTGGAAGAATCAGGCTTTGTACCAAAGCACCCTAGCTCAACTGAAGGAGCACTTTGACATGACGGATCTTGGTGAGGTATCCAACTATCTTTCTCTGCAGGTAGAGAAAGACCAGGCAGGTAATTTTCTGGTACACCAAACACAGAAAATTGCTGATGTATTAACCAGGCTGAATTTGGTTGATGCAAATCCTGTAGACACACCGATGGTAACAGGTTACCAGGTAGATAGTACTGCTGAAGCATTTTCTGACACCACACTGTACAGATGCATTCTAGGCAAGCTGAATTTTATTGCTAGATGTTCAAGACCTGACATAGCTGTAAGCACTAACCTGCTTAGCAGACATGCCAACAATCCTACTGTTCAGGATTGGAAAGCTCTGAAGCGCATAGCCCGCTATTTGAAGGGGACTTTGCACTACAGACTGAGGTTCACAAGTCAGAAGACTGGAGGTCTTGAAATCTTTGCAGATGCTAGTTTTGGAAGTGACACCACGGATGGTACAAGCACTTCTGGAGTGTGCTACATGTACAACCACTGTCTGTTTGACTGGCTGTGCAAAAAGCAGATGACAGTAAGCCTAAGTTCCTGTGAGGCAGAACTCAATGCCCTGTCATCTTCACTCATGGGTTGTGAATGGTTGATGCAACTGTTTCAGGACATCAGAGTCAAAGTGACATGTCCTATACAGGTGTATCAAGATAACAGATCCTGTTTGGCTTTGTTGGCCTCAGAGAGTTGCAAGCAAAGAACCAAATATTTGCAGATAAAGCTACATTGTGCAAGAGAGTGTATTCAGAAAGGACTCATTCTGGTGTCCTACATGCCAGGAAATGAAATTCCTACAGATCTGTTGTCTAAGGTTGTTAACAGAGAACAACTTAAGGTTTATGTACAGAGGTTGCAATTGGGTTGAACCACAAGAACGACAGGTTACATGGAAAGGGGGAGGATGTAGTTCCATTCCACCTTAAAAGGGTACAGGCATGATATTTGTGTGTCACATGCCTGTTTACTTCCAGCACTTTCTATATAGCTTTTGTATATAGCTTTTGGGTTACTGCTTTTTTTTGCTGCAGACAAAGGGAAGCAGACATATTTTTTCCTTTGTTCCTGCTGCTGAATAAAATGCTGTAATATAATGCTTACACGTTTCTCTGTCCACCTCTTCTGCTGTGAGAAGATTTACACACTCTGCTGATAGAGCGTGCATGGGTCTCTAAACATATCTGAGACTCGTAATACCACCCTGGTATTACCTTCTCTAATGCAGCCCTGTTTAGGGCAGATGGAGTGCATTTATCTGACAAAGGTAACAATGTGTGGTTGGCCAAGGTCCCAGATGGCTTGAAGGACTGTTTGCGAAGTAAGGGTGTTGGCGGCGAGCGCTAGGCTCGTGTGGGAGTTAGGCATTGGCTTATTGAAGTGGGTGGGAGGGGAGGTGCAGCCATCACCTGCCCCTCCATGAATAAGGGTATTCCGGTAAAGGAATCTGGGGGTCCTGGATCTCGTCCGAAGTCCCCTTGAGGGGCTAGGGCCATGCCAGGACCACAGGAACCCTGGGGTGAGCTTTGGTTGGTCTTCATCGATGTTGTTCCCTCGTTTGGTGTTTACCCTTTCAGACTTCCAGCCAGAGAGGCAGGAGTCAGTTATAGTCTGTTGCCAATGCCTAAGCCAACACCGCTCACTTTGCTGTAATCAATAACGTTGTGGCCTAAATTTTGCCCAATAACTTAAACTAAAATTACGTGTCAGTGTGAAGTTATTTTCAGGGGAAGGGCTTGGGGGCCTCGAAGCGCAAGTGCTTGTCTGGTTATTATGAACCTTATGTTTTTAATGGGTTTTGTAATAAGGAGAGAGAGAGATCCAGAGGGGCGGGGGAAGAATGTGAGAGACAAGAGTGCCTAAAGGGACCCCTGACCGTTAGGTCCAGTCACGGACGACTTTCGGGATGCGCGCTCTATAAGCCGAGGGAGCCGGCATTTGTCCGCAGACAGTTTTTCTGGGTCATGTGGCCAGCATGACTAAGCTGCTTCTGGAGAACCAGAGCAGCGCACAGAAATGCCGTTTACCTTCCCGCCGGAGCGGTACCTATTTATCTACTTGTACTTTGATGTGCTTTCAAACTGCGAGGTTGGCAGGAGCAGGGACCGAGCAACCTTCTGATGTGCAAGCCCTAGGCTCTGTGGTTTAGACCACAGTGCCACCCGCGTCCCTCAGGAGTGCTTAGTACTTGTTATTGGCAAAAAGGTGAGCCTAGGTGGGTGTCTCAGCAAGTGTCTCTCCCCCACACGACACAACTCCGGCAGTTAATTATTGCAGATTTATTACTACATTACAAGGAGCTCTGGTAAGTCCTCTGATGATGATCCAGCTGCCGAAACATGGTGATTCCTCCCTTTCCTGTCCCAGCAGGAAATCCCCCACCTTTTCCTCCTTCCAGCCCCCCTCTTCTCGGCTAGCTTCAAAAGTCTCCTGCTTCTGGGCGATTCCACCCTCCTATCTCCCCCTCTCCTTCTGTTTTGTCTTCACTGGAGCCTGTCAGTTGCATTCCAGTTCGCTGTGCCTCTCTGTACAGAGGTCAAATTCCTGCTACTCCCCTCTTCTCCCTCCTCTCTGAGGCATTCTCTTCCCTCTGCCTCTGTACCTGCTTGATCTACCCTCTTCAGTGAGGGAACTTCTCTGACAGCAAGAGCCCATTCCACTCTGAAGAGAGAAAGAAACCAACTTGAAGGCTGTCAGGTCCCATTAACATCCTCTAAAGCGCCACAGAAAGCCATATGGAGTGCATGCAGTCAAGAGAAATTAGGGGTTCAAGCCAGGTGATTCCCCCCCCCCCCATGAAGCAGATCACTCATGGAAGCAGGTTGCACTTCCTTAATAGCTGCCATTCAGAATGCTGTGGCTGCCATCAGATTAAACCAACTTGGGACAAGCCCCCGATTTCTCACCAAAAAGAGGTTTTTCCTTATTGAATGGAAAATTTGTGTACAATTTCCTGGTGGCTCGGGGGGGGGGGGAATCCAAAGCCTGGACAACTGATGTGCCCCAGCAATAGTAGATCCTAATAATGATGCAACATGGGCCTAAGGCAAGTGTGGAGAACCTTTGGCCATTCAGAAGCTGCTTAATGATAACTCCCATCAGCTTTAGCAAGCATGGGTAATGGCCAAGGATTGTGATACTTGCCATCCAGCAACATCTGGGGTGCCAAGGGTCCTCACACCTGGTCTAAGGGCTGAGGATATAGTAAATCAGTAGATAAGTTATCTAAAATTAAAAGTGGGATGCTTTACATAAATAACATTAGGACAGCTTCTTGGGCCAGAGATGCATCAGTTGTAGAGACTTGCTCTTCTGTAAATGTCTGAGCACCAAGTTCCATATAAACATCCATAGCAAAGGGAAATATGGAAGAGACACTTACCTTGCCATCCTCCGTGTATACATTTTCATGATACCCCTTGACAATTGTTCGGTAAATGAAGAGGCTCCGCATTATCACTATGACTTTTAACACTTTTCCTAATGTGACCTGTCAGGGGGGTGTAGGGAAGTAAATGTGACAAAAAAAGACAATGGTAAGAAACACATACTCCATAATTTAAAAGACTGAAAAGCAAATGGGGGATTTTCTATGTGAGCATCAGAGAAGAACCCTTTCATCATAGTGTTTAGGTTCTGAACTATATATTATGCATGTCAAAATGGCATCCCCATGTTGAGTTCTCCCCTCCTCCCCACCAATATTTAGGGTTATCTAGCTCCTAAATACCACCACCTTGCAAGTTTTTCTGTTTCCAGTAGTCCCTTTCCAACAGGGAGGCTGATGAGCCGCGCCAGAGGCTTCGTGATTTATGAGCTGCCGAGATAAGAAGTTTTTGAAGGCATATAGACTCAAGGCTCAAGTGAAAAGCTGGAATGGAGTTTTTCCAAGCTTCTGAGGCTGCTGAGTGCCCAAAGTTAAATGGCCACAATGATAAAACCTGGGCAAAATGGTGTGAGAGTTTGCTGCGTCAGTTTGGAGTGTGGCATACTGTGAGTGAAGCCCCTCCAGTTCCTCTGACAGATAGATGGAGGGCCCAGAATTCGAAGGCCATTGACGTAATAGTCTTGTCCGTCTCTCTGGAGGAAATTAAAACGTTAGCTGGCAACGTGACTGCACGTAAGATGTGGAATGCTTTGAAGATAGCCCATCTGCCAGTCATCCCAGCCCAGAGTTTGACTGCATCGGAGGTCCTGGCTGTTTCCCAGAGTGTGGGTGAATGCAGGGATGCCGAGGGCACCGTTTGCAAGCTGCAGGAGGAGCTGACTGTGATGTCATCCCAGGCAGCATTCCAGCCTCCAGGGGGAGCCAAGGAGTCAGCAGCTGAGAGCTCTGTTTCTCATGGGAGCCAAGGTCATCCTCACAGATACCGGAAGGCTAGAAGTAAACAGAGACAGATGCCTGCAGGTGGCCAGAAGCAGAAGGGGGGTGAAGAGCCCACGCCAATGGAAAACAAGGCTTTGTTTGCTGGCACAGCTTCACCAAAGGCTAAAGGCAAGTCTGATGGCCAGGAGCAGGGGGGCAAGCTGCAAAAGCCCACGCTGGTGGAAAACAAGGTTTTGCTTGCTGGAAAGGCTGCTCCAAAGGCCAAGGCCAGGTTTGTTATTGATTTGGGGTGCATCCGCCATGTCTCAAAGGACCGCCATCTCTTTATCTCCTTCAAACCTCAAGAAGGTGAGATCCACCTGGCTGACGGAAAGACGTTGCGAATTGCGGGAGAAGGGACTGTGAAACTAGCAAGTCTGCACACTACCATCAAAGATGTACTATATGTTCCAGGTGCTGCAGACAATTTGCTCAGTGTCCCACAGCTGACTGGGCGTGGCTTTGAGATTTCCTTCAAGAGGAGCGTCTGTGTCATCAGAAAAGGCAAAGAGGACATTTTGCATGCAAAGTTTATGGATGGATTGTTCTGTATAACTTATGATGACAATGGTGCTGTTGTGTCTAATGTTGATTCTTGTTGTGTTGCACAAACTAACAAAGTTCTTCATGCAGGATGCATTCATGATGCACACAGAAGGTTTTGTCACCTCTCTTGGAAGGCACTGGCCAAGATGCCAGAGATGGTTGAGGGTTTGAACATCAAACCCTGTAAGTTTCACATGAAATGTGTATCTTGTGCAGAGAACAAGGTGAAGGTTGCTCCAAAAGGCAAGGAGTCTAGCAGGCAGGCTTCCAAACCCTACCAGCTAGTCCACGCAGACCTGGTTGGTCCACTTGCACCCTCTTTGGGAGGAGCAAGGTACTTCATGCTTCTAATTGATTCTTTTACCAGGTACATTCATGTGTTTATGCTCGAGCAGAAATCGCAAGCGTTTCCTAAATTCAAGGCATTCTGTGCTTGGTTGGAGAATGTTCACGGTAAACGCATTGGCTGTCTGTTTACTGATCGAGGCGGGGAGTTCACTTCTCAGCAGTTTGAAGCTTTCCTGACTGAGAAGGGAATCCAACATGACTTGTCAACGCCTAGATCGCCATGGATGAATGGACTTGCAGAGCGAGCAAATCAAACGTTGCTGCAAGGAATGAAAACATTGTTGCATGATGCCAATCTCCCTGATAAGTATTGGGGGGAGGCTCTGTCGAATTTTGTTTACACTTATAATCGCAGATTGTCATCACCTATTGGTTGTACCCCCCTATGAGAAGATGTTTGGTAAGAAACCCAACATCAAGCACATGAGAATCTTTGGTTCTGACATGTGGGTACACACCCCACAGAGCAACAAGCTTGGGAAGCGTGGGGCACATGGTTTGTTCATGGGGTACGAAAAAGGAGCATACAGGGTATGGATGATTGACTCTAAGTCCATTAAGTTCACAAAGAGTGTTGAGTACAATCCTAAGTGGGGGGGGAATGTGGGAATTTTCCAGAGTTACCCAGAGGAGGATGAAGGTGACGTCAAGGAAGCAGATAAAGCTGAGGAAGCTGCTGAGGATGATGATGATGATGATCAGAGTTCGGATTCCAGTTCAGTGGGCGGCGCTGCTGCTGATGTCAGCGACAGTGATGACACAGCAGACTACAAGAGCGCAAAGGCCTCAGTCAGACCATCTGATGCATCTGACAATGAACTGGAAGAACCACTGTTCACCATTGGTCACTTTTCTCCTAAGAAGGAGGAGATGAGTCCAGAAGACTTGCGTCTAGTACACAGATCTGAAAGGGCGACCAAGGGCAGACCTCCAAAGAGATTTGCTGATGAGTTTGCTAAGACAGCAACTGCTGTTCTTAGTAGCTCAGAAAAGGTGTGGGAACCTTCAAGCTTCAAAGAGGTTCAGGAGTTAACCTCTAAAGATGCTGAGCCTTGGCTTAATGCCATGAAGGCTGAAGTTGATTCCTTGAATAGGAACCAAACTTGGGAACTGGTACCGGTAGTCCCAGGAATGAGACTGGTTGGCAGCAAATGGGTCTTCATGGCCAAGACAGACCAGAATGGCAAGGTTGTCAGATACAAAGCCAGATTGGTCGCCAGAGGTTTTTCACAGGTACCAGGACAGAATTACCACGAGACCTACTCTCCCACAGTCAAGTATGAGAGCATTCGGCTGATGCTCAAGATCGCTGCGGAGGAGAAACTGCATGTTTCCCATCATGACATTAATACAGCTTTTTTGTACGGGATTTTGGGGGAGGAGCTGTTTATGCTTCCACCTGATGGAATGCAGATACAGAAGGGAATGGTCTGTAAACTCCGGAAATCCTTATATGGTCTCAAGCAGAGTGCCAGGTGTTGGAACACGAAACTCACTGAGACGTTGCTTTCTCTAGGTTTTCACCAGGGCAAAGCTGATCCATGTGTGTTTGTCAAGGAGGAGGGCAAAACAAACTGTATTGTTTATGTTTTGTTGATGATCTTCTGATGTTTTGGAAGAATCAGGCTTTGTACCAAAGCACCCTAGCTCAGCTGAAGGAGCACTTTGACATGAAGGATCTTGGTGAGGTATCCAACTATCTTTCTCTGCAGGTGGAGAGGGACCAAGCAGGTAATTTTCTGGTACACCAAACACAGAAAATTGCTGATGTATTAACCAGGTTGAATTGGGTTAATGCAAACCCAGCAGACACACCGATGGTGACAGGTTACCAGGTAGATAGTACTGCTGAAGCGTTTTCTGACACAACGCTGTACAGATGCATTCTAGGCAAGTTGAATTTCATTGCTAGATGTTCAAGACCTGACATTGCTGTAAGCACTAACCTGCTTAGCAGACATGCTAACAATCCTACTGTTCAAGATTGAAAGCTCTGAGCGCATAGCCCGCTATTTGAAAGGGACTATGCACTACAGGCTGAGGTTCACCAGTCAGAAGACTGGAGGTCTTGAAATCTTTGCAGATGCAAGTTTTGGAAGTGACACCACGGATGGTACAAGCACTTCTGGAGTATGCTACATGTACAACCACTGTCTGACTGGCTGTGCAAGAAGCAGACAACAGTGAGCCTAAGTTCCTGTGAAGCAGAACTCAATGCTCTGTCATTTTCACTCATGGATTGTGAATGGTTGATGCAACTGTTTAAGGACATCAGAGTTTCTGTGAAATGTCCTATACAAGTGTATCAAGACAATAGATCTTGTTTGGCTTTGCTGAACTCAGAGAGTTGCAAGCAAAGAACCAAGTACTTGCAGATTAAGCTACATCGTGCAAGAGAGTGTATTCAGAAAGGACTCATTCAGGTGTCCTACATGGCAGGAAATGAAATTCCTGCTGATCTGTTGTCTAAGGTTGTTAACAGAGAACAACTTAAGGTTTACGTACAAAGGTTGCAATTGGGTTGAACCACAGGTACTACAGGTTACACGGAAAGGGGGAGGATGTTAGGATATTTCTGTTCCACCTTAAAAGGGAGCAGGCTTTGTGAGTCACAGAGTCTGCGCATTTCCTGTTCACAGGAAGTTTATGTTTTCTATTGCTTTCGTTTCTCTCTCTGTGTCGTAGACACTGAAGCAGGCAGTCATGTTTTTCTTTGTTCTGATCAACGCTGAATAAAACTTGTAAATAATGCTCTCCTGAGTGCGACTTCTGCTGTGCATTATCTGCTGATAAAGAGTGTGCATCGGCTCTAGAATGTTCTGGAGCTCATGTCGCTAATTGCTGATACTGCGTGTCTACGGGAGATCGATGGATCGTCCGGCAGCCGGCTTGGGGGCCATGATGGACTTTATCTCCCTGGCAGTATCCCAACTTTCGCTTTTCCTCCACATACCTTTCAGCAGTCCGTCGCAGTCTTACTCTCCCGTAAGTGCCATGAATCTGGGCCCGAAACCTTGTTGTTGGGAGGGAGATAAAGTCCATCAGGACAGGGGCCATATATTTCTGTAAAATATGTCACCCAATCCTTTCCTTGGACAGATGCTTCTAACGAGTAGCCCAGCCCATTTGTGCCTTGGGCAACCAGATGCCAAAATTTCCGTGAGTCCTTTTGAAGTGCTGCATCTCCCAATTCTTTCCACTGTTGTTCATAATATATTTGTTTCTTGCTTTTAAGTAATAATTTATAATTGTTTCGTAACTGGGCTACCTCAGCTTGTAGAGCAAGATTGTGCTTATCTTGTTTTAACTTCAATTTTCTAAGTACCCTAGCTAGGTATTTTTTGCTATTCTGACATTCCTTATCAAACCAAGTCTGTCTCTTAAACTTTTTGTTTTTTATCACACTAGCTGTGGTCATCAGTGGGCGCATTTGGTTGATTATATTCTCATAAAGTCCAATTATGTTTCCTGTTTCTAACAACATTTCCCCCTTTAATAAAGCAAATTCATGGGAATCCAGGATCTGAATCATTTTTTCTTGGACCTGTGCATTCCATTTTAACCTTCTGTTTCCAAGTATCAGATATTCTGTTTCATCCAATAATTTAGGAAAGGCAGGAGAAAAGAATAATGTCAGAGATAACTCAAGTGGAAAGTGGTCACTTTCAGCTCTGGGAATGATCCTGAAGGTATCTCGGTTAACTGGCACATTATTAGATGTTAGGATATAATCTATGGTGCTAGTAAATTCTCTGGGGGAGATAAAAGTAAAATAACTCTCTTGATCCCCTTGACCGTGCCCATTGCATAACAAAAGGTTATGCTTTATTATGAGTTCACAAAGATATTTCCCAGCGTGATTAGAGGTGGTGTCCATTGCTGCCCTCTGACAGATTTCAGGTTCGTCCTCCAAGTTTAGACCAGATAATATTGTATTTTGTGGGGAAACAAGGCCGATCCGGGCATTGAAGTCACCTCCCAAGACAAGCCGAGGGTTAGGTGACAGAGAGTCTATACTTTCGAGTAGTTGGTCAAGTTTATCCCAATATGATCTCAGTTCCCACAAGACTTTACTGGAGGTATGTACACACAGATGCAATAAGTATTTCTCAGAAGACTATCAGAAAGGGACAACACTAAAAAATTAGGGGTGGTCAACGAGGGACACTGTTGAATTGATACATTAAGAGAGGTTGACACCAGCACCGCCAGCCCCCCACTAGGCCTTCCATACTTTACAGTTTTAAGAGCTGGTTGAGTGTAACTTGTAAAACCCTGTAGTTCAACCATAGTGCCCTCGTTGCCCAGGTTTCTTGAAGAAAGATGATATCATGTGTTTGTAGATAAGAACAGAAATCACTGTCTTGGATCTTGTTCATCCACCCTGTTACATTCCATGAGAGAAGTTTAATTGTTTTACAGTGATTTACTCTTAGTCAATTGTTGGCCAATGTACTCTCAGAGTTTACCAGTTTTTGAGGCAACAGAGTATTGCTAATGCTAGTGGAATAATCCAGATGTTCGATTATTTCAGTCGTAGTACATAAAGTGCTCACATTTGTAATCACTGGGCCTTTTCTTTGCAAATTGTTTGCCAATGGGGATTTCTTGGGTGTGTTTCCTGACTCCTCCTCTTCTAAATATCTCATCTTTGTCCAATACTCTGGTGGTTCTATAGTTATCATTCTGTTGTGGCCATTGGGTCTATTATCAATCTCTGCCTCCGGTTCTTTAATCTCTTTCAATGTCTGGCTCATAAGATCAAGCCTCTTGATAACTGTTTGTTGCTCTTCCTGAGGGAGATTCCTAAAGGAGCTGAGAAAATCCTCTTCCAAAGGATTTACAGAGTGCTCAGATTCCTGAAGATGATTGTCTAGAGGAATCGGCTGTTCCTTTTGGCTCACCTGGTTATTTTGATGTTGGGCATGATCCTGCGAATTCAACTCAGGCATGTCTGTTTCCTCCCCACCTGTCAAGTTTTTTTGTGATGTCATTACTTCCATTGGGGATCCAGGCTTTGGTTTTGTGAGCCCTTCTGAAGCACCAGTCCTCATCTTACATAAGGGTGCAACAATAGAATTGTGAAATACCCGGGTTGGAAAAACTCCTCTGCTTGACAATCTGAATTTCAGCTTGTGAATCAGTGAGGGCAGTCTAGTAGAGGAAAAAGTTAACATAATTTTTTGGCTTTGATTTGTGGTATTCAAGAGTTCAGTCCTAGCGAGGTCAATCTCTGTAAGTCCAATGCCAAGTAAGTCTGATAAATGTCGTTTGGAACGCTGGGCACCTTTCCAGCTAGGAGTTTGATCTGGCCTTCCACAAATTGTCATGCAGATCTTTTTTGGTTGGAAGATTAAATAAGAAGAGTTTGTTTTAAGAGCCTCTGCACGTTCTATGTTGAGCTTAGGAGTCTGCTCTTGTTGTCGCCAATTTCCTTTGGTACTATGGTGTTCTGTTGATGCCTGCTTGGTATTAACTGATAAACTGTGGACCTCTTTGGATAATTGGGTTATTTGAGAGGCAATACCTCTAATTTGCTGGAAGATATGTTCAACCATTCTTGCAATTAGAGTTAATTGGGTGCTCTCCCTGTTTGTTATTCCTTCCTCTCTGAGGAGCACAGGATCAACTTGCCCCATTGCTGTATCCAGTTCCACGCTCTCACCTTGAATACTCTCCCCACATGCACAATCATCTTCAAGAGGAGAAAACCGGTTTTTTGTTGGAACTATAAAAGCAGATTTGTTAAAAAAGTCCTCTATTTTAGATTGTTTGGGAACCGGTGAGAGAGCTACATCCTCTGGGTCCCTGTGGCGTTTACTAGCAGGCATAGCGTCACCGTGGGGAGTAAACAAGGAGAGGTTTCACCAACCAAAAAAGAGAGAAAAAATAGAAAGTGCTCAGTTTGTTCAATTTAAGAGCTTCTCTGTGTGGAGACTGCCAGGAGTTTCAGGAACAAAGTATAGAAGGGAGTTGGCGGTTAATAGTTAGCAGCTGGCGGCCTGCCCAGGATGCTTCACAGAACTTGCCCAAGATGTTTCTCATAGCATAGACAAGAAGGTGCTGTTAGAATCTCAGTAAGTTAAAAAGTAGAGAAGTAAAAAAGGAAAAATTACTTCCCTGGGTGGCAGTCAATGCTAATTACAGTCCTGTTATCTGCGGAGCTCCGAAGCCTGCTTGCTAAGCCGTCGCCATCTTGGACCCAAAGTCGGGACTTTCCAAGTGGAGCTTGCTGCCAGCTTGTAAACAGCTCATAGACTTTTGGATTTTCCAGCTTGTAGCTGAAAGCTGAAGCTTGGAATCAAGATGGATGCCAAGAAAGGGGCAGGTTTACCTTATCCACCTCCCCTGACTAATGACAATTATTCCTCATGGTCTGTGAAAATGAAAGCCATGCTTCAGAGTCAGAGGGTGTTTGGAGTGATTGAAAATCCAATCCCAGCTGCACCCACACCAGCTTGGAATTCTCAGAATGTGAAAGCCAGGTCGGCTATGATTCTGTGTGTCTCAGATGAGCAGCTCGTGCATATAGCAGATATGCAACACGCGCGCGAAATTTGGCAAACGCTGCAAAGAATCCATCGAAGGGATGCTGCAGGTACTGCGCTGTTGCATTTTGAAAAACTCACAAACATGAGACTGGCGCCTGATGGGGATGTGATGGTGCATTTGACAGAGATGAAACATTTACGCCAGCAGATGGCGCAACACAATTTCCTCTTCAGGAAGAGATATTTTGCTTTATGATCATTAACAGCCTTAATCGGACTTACAAAACCGTTGCAAGTCAACTTGGATCTCTACCTGTATCTGTTAACTTTTGATAAGAGTGATTACAAAAGTTGTACTGCATGTGAGTCTAAAATGCTTTCTCTTGCAGGTATATCGGACGGAGCCAAGGCTAAAAAGGCACCTAAGATTACCAGTGTTTTTCAGCGAGTGTATGCTGATGTAATTGGTCCTCTAGCACCATCTAGAGGCAATGCAAAATACTACCTTGCATTTGTTGATCACTATTCTCAATATGTATGGATATATATATTGGGATCACCCAGAGAAACCTTAGCAAGGTTTAAAGAGTTTTGTGATAAGGTTAAGAATATTCATGATGCTAATATTGATTTTCTTTTCACAGATGAAAAGCCAATTTTTCTTTCACAGGATTTTCAGGATTTCATCAAGAGACAACGGATAGAGCATAAAATTGCTGTCTCAGAAGCTGCATGGAACAAAAGTGTGTGTGTAAAGGTGAACAAAGAGTTGCAGAATGGCATGAATGCACAATTGCTGAGTTCACATTTGCCACGTGAGTATTAGGCTGAAGCTTTATCTTCTTATTGTTACACTTGGGTGAGAAAGGTTTCAAAAGGTATGGAAAGTTCTCCTTTTGAGAGGCTATTCCACAGGAAACCTTCTGTAAATCATTTTAAGGTTTTTGGATCTCACATCCGTACAGAAACTCCAGATGGGGTAAAGAATGCCAGAGGCATTTTTGTGGGTTATGAAAAGGGTCTCTACAGAGTAATTTTGTCTGAATCTGGTCAGGTGATTCTCACAAAGTTTCTAGAGAGCACTCCAAGACAGGAGACAGAGGTTTTTCAAACATTTCCCATTGCTGACAATTCAGATGATGATTCTGATGATTCTGATTATTCTGGTACTGAGAGTGACACAGAAAGCTCAGGAAGTTCTGTTGACACAGTCATTGAGAGAGGTTCACACACAATGGCTAGACCTTCACAGGTTAAGGTTGAACCACTGTTTACTGTTGGAACTGGTTCTCCAAAAGGTCCTGAGGATGAACCAGTCAGCAAGGAGGATCAACACCTCATACGCAGGTCTGAAAGAATCACAAAGGGCGTACCACCCAAGAGGTATTCTCAAGAGTTTGCTAATTCAGCTGTTGCATGTATTACTATTGTTGACAACTCAAGCCTGGTAAAAGGTGTGTCTAAGTCAGAGACAAAGACACAACAGGGAGTTGCTAAGCGTAACACTACATTCCCTAACCAAGGTAATGCAGATGCACTCATTCCTTGGAAAACAGACACCCAAAGAGTTACATTGGTGAAACCAGTGGCGAGTAGTTCCAAGGGTGGAACTGAAACAACACGAGATTGTTACATGTATAACTACTGTTTGTTTTCTTCTCTGGATCAAGCTTTGCTCGCAGCTAACGTTGATTCATATGGGGGAGTATGTTACGATATGAGAGCAACGCAGCTGCAAACTGGCAGCTTGGTGAAAACATCACATGATGTGACTAGCTGTGGGAAAGAATCTTCCCGGAAGTTCACAGGCTTCTCAAAGCTTTGTGAAGTGTGTAATATAAGACCTTCCTGTTGCGTATGTGAAGGAAGTCTTAGTCACTTGCTTGCTGAACACTGAACTGTTCGGACATGTTTTTTGTAGAGTTACATCAGTCAGAAATAAACAAGATGTAAAAGGATTTCTGACTATCTCCTTTCTCTTGCCGGTCATTACGAGTGAAGGGTATAAAGTGGTCTGTAACGCAGGCTCAAAAATATTCTGAATTTTTTCAGCAGGAGATCATACAAACCTATTCAGCCCTTGGCATAACTTCATATGATCACGATCAAACTATTAATCTATTTGCCAATCTGTTGAATGACCTCACGTCATTCTTTTCTGTCCCAACCCACCAGGCAAATTGGGCCCACCCCAAGACAGGTGCACCGTGGTTTAACCGTAATTGCAAACAAGCCAAACAACATCTTTGTGCTATTTATAATGATTACAAATCCTCAGGGCGATTACGCTTCCCAAGGAGTACTATCAGGCAAAATCAGCTTACAAATATGTGCAGAAAAAGGCCAAACAGGAATGGCAATTGAACCGCTGGCAAGCACTTATAGCTGCCTCAAGTACCCGTAATTCCGAAAATTCTGGCTGTTGGTTAACAGAAAATCGAAAAGATACCCCTTAACAGTTATTCCTGCCCCAATTTGGGAATCCTTTCTAAGGAATTATTTTGCCTTACCAGACCTTAATATTAATACAATAGATGGAGTCTATGAGCAGCTCCCTCTTTGGCCACCCACTGACCCGGAAGAAATCCACAGACTTATTTCTAATCTTAAAATCGGAAAAGCCCCCGGTCCTGATCTAGTCCCGGCAGAAGCTATAAAACTTCATGCTGACTGGTGGGCGAAAATCTTGGCCGCTACCTTTGATGCCGTAAACAACAGTGGGAAGGTACCAAGAATATGGAAGGATGCGATTATTGTTCCAATTCATAAAAAGGCTCGACAGATGACCCGGAAATTACAGGAATATCAGTTTATTGTCATTAATTGGGAAAATATATGCACGGTTCTTGTTAACTAAGCTTACTAAATGGGCCGAAGAGAACAACCTGATTGGGCCTGAACAGGCTGGTTTTAGACCGAATCAGTCAGCGGTTGATCAGGTCTTAGTTTTATACCACCTTGCCCGGAAATACTCCTCCCCAAATAGAGGCCAACTCTGTGCGGCCTTTATTGATTTAAAGGCCGCTTTTGACAGCATCCCCAGAGGATTGCTTTGGGGAAAATTAGCCCGATGGGGAATAGACAAAAGACTTTTGTGGCTAATAACTAAATTGCATGACGGATCGGCCGCTAGGGTGAGAATCACTCCGGCAGGCGACCTCTCAAACTCAGTAACTATCAATAGAGGTGTTCGCCAAGGATGTATCCTTGCTCCGACCCTTTTTAATCTATTTATAAGTGATATGAGGGCGCCTCTGATAGAGGCTCAAGAAACGATCCATGCCCCCCGTCTTGCCCAATATCGTTGCCCCCTTCTACTCTACGCAGACGACGCAGTGATCCTATCCTTTTCAAGAGTCGGCCTTAGGAGGGCATTAAAAATTTTCGATGTTTACTGCAAATCAAATTTTCTTACAATTAACCATGTTAAGTCCAAAGTCCTAATTTTCACCAAGAGTCGAAAAACCTATAATTGGAGAATAGACAGAAAAGCTATTGACCAAGTCTTTAAATTCCAGTACCTGGGAGTCTTTCTCCAACACAACATGGGCTGGAAGGTCCATGTTGCATATGTATTAAACAGAGCTAAAGCCCTTTCCTATGCGCTATTGCGTTTTTTCTTTTCAGATGGGGCTTTCCATATTCCTTCAGTGTTAAAAGTTTTCAAGGCAAAGGTGATTGCAACAATAGCATATGCAGTCCCATTATGGGACTAATCTAACCCATTTGGAGGTAATCCAAAACCAGCTTTTAAGAAGGTTGTTAAAATTACCCAGGTGTGTAAGCAATACTGCTATACGACTGGAACTAAATGTTACATCTCTAGAAACCACATTATGGAAATGCATCCTCTGTTACTGGTTGGCTTTATGGCATAAACTTCCAAATCTCCACTTGATACAATGCCTCTGGAGAGATGACTTCCTAGCCCCTGGGCAAAAATAATACATGGGAAACTTGTGTCCCTAGGACTATCTCCATCTGAACTATTAAAATTGAATTTAACTTCGGCCAAAAGAATTATAACTCACAAATTAGAGGAGATGGATTTACAATTTAATATTGCGACAGGTGGAGGCACCTGTTCGCCGATAAACCTTGGCTTAACTCCACCAACGAAACTTCCATCTGACTTAACTACCTTATCTGTGGTGGCGCACAGGTATGCCTTTATAATGGCTAGATTCAATGCTTTCCCATCAAACGTGTTGGGTAACAGACTCTCCAACGGACAGATCTCACTCCTCTGTGACTGTAAAAGCGGATCTATAGAATCGTTATATCATATAATCTTCTGCTGTCCATTACATTCGGCTTCACGGTCCAAGTTTCTGGCCCCATATTTATCGAGAATTGTTGACAGTCCTCAGGAAGCCCAAATAATATATTTATTAAACAACGAAGATACAAGTAGATCCCTTGCAATCGCTAGATACCTGATTAATGTTTTATTTCAAAAGAGGAGAAATGGATCACTGTATGTTTCTGACAGCTTAGCTAAACTTAAGAACCATCAATAAGTGCCAGAACTAAGACGTATACCCCCAAAATCTGATGGATCGGAATTGCGGTTTACATAGAGGAGCTTATTGTGTATAGTGTTTACTTAACTAAAGTTAAATTGGTTTTATAAGGGTGTTTTAACTTGGAACTGTTTAAATTGTATTGTTTATGGATAAATTCTGATGTATTGTTTTCGATATGGGCCAATGGCCGCAATAAATCTAAATCTAGAAATCTCTTGCCGGTATGCAAGGAGGGAGGGGATGAGCATTTTCCACGCTGGGAAATGTCGCCTATCAAGCTCTCCCTTGTCTGTCCGGAATGTCAGCCAGAGGAAGATCACCAGTAAACAAGCTCCGAGAGCAGGGAGAGGGGCCAGCCTCTCCGGAGGGGACTTGTTTTTCCAACACGCGGTACCCCATAAAAAACCTTGGATTGAGCATTCCGAGGACTTGGTGTTCCTGCGGGTGCCTGGAACGACTCCCCCACTCCCCGGTAAGCTCTTGATAAGGGCTCCAAGAGCGAGTGGGGTTGGAGACAGAGGCACTTGGGAATAGACTCGCTTCCTTCATCGCATGAAGCTCTGAGTCCAGCGATTGTGAGCGGCCAATTTCTCCAAGCAACTCTGATTGGAAAAGAGTGAGTAATAAATTAAAAATTTGGACATCTATTTGGAAAGGATAGGGGCTTAAAAACGGAGGTCAGTCCCTTCCTCTGATTAAGATAGAAAACAGCTACACTAGCCGAAGCCGTGATCTAAAATATACGACTTTCTAAAGACTTTCAAGTTAACTTTCGGATTCCCTCTTCTAGCAGGGGGAAGGGGGGAGATACTTTTCTGACTTTTATAATCCCTGCAGACAGTTTGGATTTACGAGGTATTTTCTTTGTGGAAGCGGACTACTCAGTCGGGGAGACTAGACTCCATTGTGACGTCGTAAAGAAAAAGGACACTTTCAACTTTCGTTTTCCTATTTGGGGGGGAAAAAGTAACTGCAGCTGCCCGAACTCAAAGGTTTTTCTTTTCTCTTTTTTTTTAACAGTACTCCTACCTCCAGATATAAGTTGTAAATTGTAACTGTGTTATTAACTTCTGGGGAATTAAGAAAGCAGTAAAAAAAAGGATTACAAGTTAGAGAGACTGTTGACTTTTATATTAAGACTGGTGGAGGGGCTTGAGAAGGGAAACTGACTGCCTCCTTATCTCCCCCTTGTGTCTGAGACTGACCTTGAACAAAAGAATTACAAGTTATGGATGGGGAGAGAAACGAGAAAGACAGAGAAAACAAAAACCAAAGTAAGGAGGGACTCTAAGTCACCAACTTTTGAGGAGTCTGTGTTGCAATTGCTTCAGGAAATTAAAACAGAAGTAAGAGGAAATCAAAAGTCTATAAAGGAATTAAAAAGTGACTTTGCTCAATTAAGACAAGATTTGATGCAAGTTAACTCAGATGTATCAGCACATGAGTCAGGACTGGCGCATTTGGAAACTGTGAGAATTCCTGACTTAGAGACAATTCAGCGAGAATCTCAAATTTCAATTGCGTCTCTGCAAATAAAACAGAGGGAATGTAATCTGAGATTGAGGGGCGTACCCCAGAAAGAGCAGGATAATTTGAAGGATTGGTTAATTGAAGAATTTGCAACGTACTGGGTTCTCTCAAAAGAAGAATTAAATTCCTGGATTGACAAGGCCTACAGATTTGGACCTAAAACAGATACTAAGATTACACATGACTGTATGGTGTTTTTTAAAACTAAAGAGCAGAGAGATATTATTTTAGGCCACCATTATAAAAAAAGTTTAAAGATAGATGAGAAGGGAAGAATTCTGTTTAAAGACATTCCGACACACTTTTTGGACTTCTGGAGGTGGCGCCAGCGGTTAATGGTGGATTTCCTCGATCGGAGGAAATCTCGCCACGAAAAATAGGGTCGGATCCCGCTTTGGCATAGCGGGGGACCCTTGAGAACCACAGGCGGGGGAAGCCTGTGTACCTGGGACCCAGCGGGCACATTTGGTGCCCCCCCAACCCGGTAAAAAGCCCGGCAACGGGCTCGGAATCGGAGCGGGGGAAGGAGCGCTGTGCTGTGGGCTGTCTGCTTCTTTCGTGGTGTGAAGCCGCAAGCTGTTAACCGGAGAGCGCTGCCTTTTTTCCTTGGAACTCGGACTTGAAAATCAACGATCCGTGAGTAGGATATAACGTAATTGGGACTGCATAAATTTTGAATTTGACCGAAAACGGAAAGAGGTATAAAAGGAAGTCTACCTCTTTCTAATTGTAGATAAAATAAAGCTTTGAACTTGAAAGCGGAAGCGCAGGAAAAGACGTTTTAGCGGACTTTAATCCAATCATCTAACCTGGATTCCCCCCCCCCTTAAACTAAGGGAAAAGAGGGGACAACTGTGGATTTGATTTCTGTATAAAGAAGTGGAAATAAAAGGGACTAAACCATCGCTCAATCCTTTGGGAACGGATTTCCAGAGGCAACTCAAAAACGGATGAGAGGTACTGTCTGGAAATATACTTTGACAGCTAGTCCTGCGCAGGAAATATGAATTTGGATATATTATGTGGACATATATCTCCAGGACTCAAGTAATTATTTTAGATAGACTGTTATTTTTCTGAATAAACTGGGGGGACTTAAAAAAGAAAGTAAAGTATCCAAGAACTTTTATGACTGTTACAGTGTCCCCCTAGTGGAACTTGGAATTGTTACAATCTGTTATAATTGAAACTGTAGCTGGCTTGAGGAATTTTCACACAGCTCTGCTGGGAATTTCCACTGTTTGAATTTAACTGCGTGTCTGACCTTGAGCTTTATATAAAGGAATGGCAGATGGTAAAGAGAGAACAGAAGCTTCACAGGCTACAAGGTCGGGCAGAGTTGTTCGTACAGAAGAAGGATTACAAAGGAGATTTTCGGCTTCAGGTGCCTCTGGAACCCCAACAACAGCCTCATCGGCACAATCAAAAGTAAAAGGTATGACAAGTGATGATGCCTTTGCTCAAGTTTTGGCCAAGGTTAATGAATCGTTAAATAGAATAAGTGAACAAGTAGCAGAGGCATGTGACAAGATTGATCAAAATACAACAAGTATTAATCAGAATACAGCAAGCTTAAACAATTTGGGTCAGAAAGTAAACACCAATACAGAGACTATTCAGAAATTATTAGAGGAATCGGCCTCAATACGTCAGATTGCCGAGGAGGCCAAAGAAATTGCTATAACTTCTGCTACAGAGGTTAAAGAGGTTCAAGAGACAATACCATCAATGCACAAACAATTGGAAGATCATAAATTGACCCTGTCTATGATAGAATTGAAGGAAAAACAAGTGAATTTAC